CACACACGTGCACGCGCGAGCCCCCGGCCCCTCGCTCCGGAGCAACCCGCCCTTCGCTGCCCCTGCAGCGGCTCTGGCCCACCTGGCTCAGAAACCCCCTCCCCAAATGCCCCGGGGAGCCGCGCTGCAGCCCCGCTTTCCCCGGGGTCGTCTCGTGGGGATCCGACACACGCACACGGGAAACGCTGGAGCTCAGTGGAAGTGGGTGTTAAGTGCGGGATAGACGGAGGTGGGGATCTCACACACACACACACACGTAGGAGCGCTGGGGAAACGTGGACGTTTCCTGAGACTTTGGATGACTGGCTTCCCCGGGGGGGCACAGGGAGGGGGCCGGGGTGACCCCCCGGGAAGGTCGGCCCGGCAGCCGCTGGCCGCCCCGCGGGGGGCACAGCAGGGGGGGGGCGGCGGGTCGGTCCTTCACCCACACCCAGGATCTCTCTCCTTTTTTGTTTTTGCACCGCTGACCAGAAAACCACGAAGCTTAACACGCCGCGGTGTCTGTGTCTGTGTCTGTCTCCGCCGGCGGAGCTGTGACCGGACAGAAGCGAGGGCGAGGAAGTCATTGGCAGGGACATGCCGGGAGCCCCGGGGGCAGGAGGGGCCGGTTACAGCAGGGAGCCGGCGGGCAGATGGGGGGGGGTCCTCCCCGGTGCGAGCAGCTTTCCAGCCTCCGGGCCCGGGACTCGTGCGTGCAGAGGAGCCGAGCCGCGCACACGTGCGGGGAGAGACGCGGAGAAGCAAATCGTTCAAACGAAAGAGCCGTGGATTTGATTGTCTTGCATTTCGTTTTGCACCCGGCGGGTTCTCCCGTCTCGCATCCCCCCGAAACGGGCTTTTTCCTCGCACGTCTCTGTGCGCAGGGGTTTTAAAACCAGGGGAGCTCTCCCGCCCAGAGAGCCCGCGAGCCGAGCGCAGAAAGTCAAGGGGGAAAAACTAGGACTTCCCTTATGTCCGCGACCGGCGAGCTGTGCAGCGGCAAAGCGGCTCTCGCCGAGCGGCTGCGGCGGGTGAAATCGCGATGTTGCGTGGCAGGATCCCTGCGATTCCCTCCCAGCCTCCCCCGTGCGGGGCTCCGGCCCCGGCCGCGGGCGGCAGCTGAGCTCCGCGCTGCCCTCCCGGGCCCGCCGCCTCGCAGGTGGATCCAGGCCAACCCCCTTCCCCTTCCTCTTCCAAACAGCCCTGGACACCCATCTCCCAATGTCACCAGCATTTCCACCAGAACTGCTGACATTTGAACAGTGGTTTTTTTTACAGAGATATAGAATATATTCTATTATCTATACTGATTATATTTTATATAGATATATCTATATATTATATCTATCTATCTATCTCTATTATATCTATATCTAGATAGATAGATATAATATATAGATAGATACAGATATATAGGTATAGATATAGATATAGGATACAAAACAGGAAATGTTTTTGACATAGGCAGACCCCACTACTATTATAGCACAGGGATCCTGCAACAAGCAGCACTAGCCTCAACAATTGCCCCAAAGCAGCTGGTTAATTTGGATTTTCTTGAAGGAGTAGATCTTTTCCCCTCCCTAACTTTATTTAATTTTGTTTGTTTTTTTTTTACTGGGGAATGACATTTCTCTGCGTTAGGCCCAGCACAGTGAATCTGCTGTGATAGATTCCCTCCTAACACTGAGTTGTAACTAACAGTGCTGTGTGGTTGTTGCCCTGATCTCCAGGTGGTAGCCCTGGGTGACGTACCTGATGGAACGGTAGTAACAGTCATGGCTGGAAACGATGAGAACTATTCTGCAGAGCTCAGAAATGCCTCCGCCATCATGAAGAATCAAGTGGCAAGATTTAATGATCTCAGATTTGTCGGGCGAAGCGGCAGAGGTAAGTGGCTGTCAGAAATACTCGGAGTGGAGCACTTGCATTTTTAAAGCGACTGTGAGATTCTAGCGCCGGGATGGGGGGGTGGAGATTGCTTATGATTTGTGGCACTGTACAGATTCGTGAGAGGCATCGTAATTCCTAGGTTTTTTTAAAGAAGGCCCCACTCCCTGGGAAGCCGGTGGCAAGTTCTGTCTCAGCGCAGTGGAAGCAGGATTGGGCCCACAAGAGGGTTATTTGGGGATTTGAATTAGAATCGAGTTGTCAGGAAAAGCAAGCTCGCAGCGCTTCTCCTTGCAGATGTTCTGCTGGGCTTTCCCTCTGTGGACTTTTATGCCCAAAATAATAAGCCACCAGGAGAAGTAAATTATTTCTAAAACCCGAAACTGTTGATTGTGCTTTAAATCTTGTTTCTGTTTGTCTGCTTGTCTCCCTCTCTTACCCCCCCTCCCCCTGCTCTAAAATTACATGAAAAGACATGCGTACACACACATTTTACTGATTAGAGGTCTGATCCCAAACCCACTGCAATCCGTGGAAAAGTTCCTACTGGATTAAGCCAGATATGGATGGCAATCTAAAGGTACAAATCTCTCTTTCGTACCACTTTAAACACAGTAACCTACACTGCATTAATTCTTCATTTATGAGAAGGGATTTACATATTTCCAGTGACTGGAAATAGTCAGCCAATCCTTCTAATCATTCTTAGAGTTTGTAGATGGAGCGTTTGAAGGGTGAGAATAATTTAATTTATTAAGCTTCACTTTGATTTTAATAGCTCTGGGGAGTTTTAAGACAGACAAATTCAGATGAGAAACAAGGCGCACGTTTTAAACTGTTTCTTAGGGTGATTCAGCATTGAGGCAAATCAATGAGGGAAATCTGAGCAGTGCTGAGCGGCTGGCTTTTTGGAAGATACGCTCCAGTCAAACACATGTTTGTTATACAGAGGGCTGGACCAGATGATTTAATGGTTCCTTCTGGTCCTGAAATCTCTGAATATATAATTTAACCTCAAACTTTCGTACTGCTGCAGACAATCCTGGCCAGCTTTTAAAAGCAGCCATCAATGAAGTGACATTGTGCTATATGAGTAAATACAAGACAAAAACAAATCCGTTTGACTAGACTGAAAGCCAGCCAGCTTCTCAAGGAAAGTATTATATGCCTTCCCTTGCCATCATGCCTGATTCATTACAGCAACATTTTTACCTGCGTTTCAAATGGCATAAACAGAATTTTAACATTTCATCACCAATAAACACTGCAGCTTTAAGCATTTAGTTGTGCTAAAAAAAAAAATCCTATATTTTAATGGCCATATGGCAGTGTTTTCTCTAACTCTTCTCATGTATACATACAAACGTCAAAGATATTTTGACTTCTTTGCATTAATTAAAACCAGTGATGCTAGGAATTATTTGCATGTAATAACTGTTTACTTGTTACTCTTTATGAAACTTGAATAGTTTACATTCTTTCATACATTTCCTCTTTCCTGTTGGCTCCTTTTCCGAGTTGCAGATTTTCTTTAAAACCCTCCACTTAACTGGTTACAGGTTGATGGATGGAAAATGTTTTTCTTTTATGAATTAAGCTTTCATTTCTGTAGTCAATTATTCTCTTAGGCCCTTTTTTTTTTTTTTTTTTCATCCTCTCACACATATTTCCAAACTGAATGCAACCCAATCTCAGCCTAATTCTTGAACTCATTATTAGCTTTCCTCCACTGGAATACTATCTTCATGCTCTGCAACAACAGTAGTTTACAGTCTCTTGAAAGCATTTAGGTGTATACTTTCCCTTCCCCACCATGGGCTTGATCAAAGCTCATTACAAGCAATGGAAAAATTAAAAAAAACACCCCAAATCCTTTCCTTTGGCTTTATTAGGCTTCGGATTAGGCCTTATGTGAACGAACAAACGCATGTGCCCGTGTCAAACCTGGATCCTAAAATGTTTGTTTTGTCTTTTATAATGAGGACAGCCTGAGCTCCTGAATTCAGGGGTGGGGGTTGGTGCAGATGGTTGTCAGAGCAGAAATGCAGGATCCAGCCTAAAGAGACACAATCCCTCCATCTCAAATAATGTTGCTATACAGAGTGTGTATGAGGACCAGAAGAGCTAGATGATATATATTGCTGTTATCAGTGGAGTTCATGGGCCCCTGCGGTGAATGGACTGTACCTAGGCGGATGGTCCAGTTCTCTGCAGGGTCACTCACCTTCATTTTAGCCAGGTGCTTGGTTAAGTGCTTACACCTGGTGTGCGTTTGGGGGGAGGCAGGCAGCTCTTGAACAAGAGCTCAGCACCTGGGGACAAAACACATTTCTGCCTAGTTACTGGTTAGTGCATGCACTGGATTCAGCTGTTGGATCTTTTTTAACTCCCCAAAAGGACCAATTTCCACTCTTACTTGCTCGGACAGAAGTCTGGAGTGACTTTGGTATTTAGAGGGAGTGGGATCTCCATGTACATGTTTCTGTATCTGCTGTCAAATTGATATATAAATGTGGAGGCACAGGGAAGCATGAACTGTCTGTGTAAACATCCTGAGCTTGCATCAACTTCAAGCTCTCATTTGAAGCAGTCTGTTAATATGGGTTAATTTGTGGCATCATTATTACTCTCTTGCTTTGAGTAGTGTTTGGATTAATGTAAGACCTACGAACACCGAGTGAGACCAGGGCCTCTGTTTTGAGTGGCATGGGGGAGACGGGCTTGGAGAGGCCCACAGGCTACACAGACAAGAAGAGAGTGCGAGAGAGAAGCTGTCACTAGCCCCTTTGGGCAGGGGCAGAGGCAGAGCTGAGGTTCAGAAAAAGGTTGAGTCCTTCCGTATAGCATCTTGCACTGGGAGCATACCCACGGAAATCGCGGGACTCTTTATGGAGCACGATCTGTGGAGGCTGTCTCATAATTAGCAGAGGAAGCTTGGAACTTGATTCGAGGTTTTCTGTGCAGATTCATGTCCCAGAATGACTGCTGTCATAAACTTGCTTTTATTGTCCCTGGAGAAGGATGGGAGTGAGCTGTATGCTGCTGTATCCCAGCATTTCTAAATGCTGCTCTCAGTTTATTCCTGC